AGCCACCTGCCTCTATCCCGTCCTCCACCAACTCCTGCATGTCCATCTCGCCCAGAAGTGCCTTACGGATCTCCTTCATATCGGGCAACACGATCACACCCCCATCCTTAGATCTCTTCACCAAATTCCGATCGTAGAGCTGGCGGAGTGCCCGCTCCCGCATCTCCTTCGGAAAGGCTTTGATGAAGGTCCGCTTCACCGCTCCCGGAGTATCGGTGACGATCCCGTTCCGATTCAATACTTCAGAATCCGATCGAACAAAGAAACGTACTTCCCGTACTGCTCCCTCGTCTGAGCACCACCTTTCTCCGTCATCTCCGCCGCGAGCTTATCCAGATCCGCCTCCCGGTACCTTTGCTCGCTTTGGCCCCACTTCTCCAACATCTCCTTCTTCAACTCCGCCCAATCCTTCTTCTCGTACCCGTCCATATCCTCCACATCCCGCAACGCCTCTTCGTCCTGGATAAAGTTGACCACCTGCCGAACCTTATCCGAATCCTCCGCTCCTTCCCCGTCCGCTGCAGCCTCGAAACGCTCCAAGAACCTCGACACTTCGGTAGTACTGAACCGAATGTTTGGATAGTCCTTCGGACGTATCTTCGCCTTCAGCGGACCCAGGGACCGCGGCGGCGTTGGGTCATCCAAGTTCATCCTTTCCTCGGAACCTTCGCTTGGTACTCCGTAAGTTCCGACCTTTTTGCTCGATCCTGAAGCCTGCCCTTCGAAAAGCTTAACCTTTTCCGCTACTTCCGTTCCAATGACCCCGTTCCTCTGGACTTGTTCGACCAAATTACGTCCCTCGGCAATCAGGTCACCCAAAGTTTCGGCCCGTTGCTTTCCCTTTTCCTCCGTACTTGGTCGATTTTCCCAAACGGTACTCCCGCTTCCGTCGCTGTCAGAAGAATCAGAAGAATCGTTCCACGCTCGCTCGTTTTTGATGTTGTGGTACGCCGGTGTGAAAAACTGTCCCGGAAAGCTCATCCACTATTCTTCGTACCGTTCGACCAAGGAAGTTGTTTCCCGGCCAGACCCCCAATTTGTGGAAAGCAAGGCGCGTCCTAGGGTATTTCTTGTACTTCTCCGCTCCGCAACGCGTCTTACTCCGGTTTGTTGTCCGGGGTAACTTGCTTGATGGTCTTGTAGGTAGGTAAAATAACACTCTTTATTGTTTTCTTTGTAGGTAATACTCTAACTCTAATCTATCTCTAACAATTCTTTAGGCTAATACACGATTCACTCCTAAGTCACTCTGTTCTTTTTCCGATCTCTTCTGAGTCATGAGTCCCCCTCTCTCCCCCCTCTTCTGCCTCGAAGTCCACTCCTCAGTTTCTCACACTTCAGTCTCTTCCTACTTCCCGCGCTGTCATCCGCTGTCACCCCCTCGGACTCCGCGTGTCACCCCTCCGACGCCTGTCGGTCCAGGTACTCCTCCGGCCGCTCGTAAGTAGGTCTCCCACCGCCGCTTCCGCCTCTGGTCCGCTCCGAACCCCGCTTCCGCCCCTCGATGCTCCCCGCTCCTTGTAGCCCCTCCGCAGTATACCCTGAACCCCCGTTCCGCAGTCGGCCGTGATCCCCGGCGTCCGCCGATGCCCGGACTCCCCGCAGTAAGCTTTTCAGAACCTTGTGCATTCGGCTTACTTTTCTCCGCTTTCCCGCGCCTCGGAAAGCTAGACTTTCCACTAATGCACCGCCGCTTTCCTCAGCCTGCCTGTGTAGCGTCAGCTCCGCGTGCTTTCCGCATCAGCGCCACGAGCATTCCGCATGCCACAAACAAACCGGCCAAGGCGCGCTCCCGCCACCACACCGCTCTCGCAATTCATCCAAGAAAAGACTGGGTTCCGATCGAAGTAATTCAATCATAAAGGTTTGATCGTCGGCAGTAAGTAACAGCCCTGGGCCTTTCTTTTCGTATTCGTCCGGATCTCGGATGACACGTTGAGTGTTTTGATACAATTGTGTCCACTGTGCAAAAGATTGTTTTGAGATCAGCTTGCCAAGGGTGTCGCAGATGAACTGTTGTGAGTATGACTGGGCAACCATGCAAACCACCGCAATTTTGATCCCAGCCGGGATCAGTCGATACGGCATAATGACAGAGTATTGGTGGAAATCAGCGGGAAATACCGAGGTCGTTGGTCTGGAGGGTGGGAGGAGGGAGGAACGAAATCAGGATTCAGGGAAGCAGCCTGGGCACGGAATTGGGGAGAAGTTTGATCTTGAATCTTAGTCAATGCACGACACTGGTGATGCAAGGCTAGAGGATCCGCAGACGTAATGCGTGCTTGAGGTTGCCTCATCCCCAAGTCTGCACATCCTTACGTGACGACTTGCACACAATTTACGCGTGGAGCGGGGGCTATGAAATCCGGGATTTGCCAGGATTTACATGGTCCTTATTGCATAACAAAGAAAAGAAAACATCGAGAGGTTCCAAGCTTCTCTGAAAAGACAATATATATCTAATAAATCAAACACATAGCAAGCAGAGAAAACAGGAGCAAAAATGCAATGGTTTCCCTTCAATCTTTGTGACCAAAACATGGCTTTCAACTTCCAAATCTTTTCCATGCTTTTTTTTTGGTTTGGACTGCAGGATGACATTCTCAGCCCAGGTCAAAGTCTAAATAATGTGGACAATGAGGATCCAAATCTAAAGAAATTGCAGGTTTAGCCTTCTAGACTTATATTCACATTATCGAAAAGCCCTGGCATATCTGAACAGGGGAAACATTGTTTTTTTTTATAAAATTTATGTGTTTGATAAATATGGATATGGGTGCAATTTTGACTCTGATGGAACAAGGAGAATCAATTTACAGTGTTAAAATTTCTTCTGCAAAGATGTACACATCCTTTGTGGCTAAGAGCCACTGTGAAATTCTTATTTTACATCCACAGGGGCCAACCTTGCACCTCAGTTACAACAGGGATGGGCCGCTACACTTTTTACCCAAAAAGCATTAGTTTAGCGGCAGTTTTTTGTGTGGAAATCTGGTAGTTTTAGTGCAATGTCAGTGCATTTTTGCTATGCTATACTGCACTACAAGCTGCTAACAGCCACTGCGGGGCCAAAAAACCGCTACCTTGTGTGTTAGCACAGCATAGCTGGCCCTTTTTTGGGGCCTGCACACATGGTGTTAGCACATACATGGCAGAATTCTGCTACACTAAACTATTTTTCAGCAGAGTTCTGCTATCCTAAGCTGCACTAACACTATGTTTAGAGTAACTGGCCCATTGCTGGTTATGGCCAATGTGTGAAGAACCGAACATGGTTGCTTGATTCCATCAGCTATATTACATTGTGCAAGCAGCCTCATGTGGCTCCATGAGGCGGTTTGTCTGAAAGAATACTTTGCAAAGGCTCGGAAGTTATTTATTGACCAGCCTGGTCCAGATTTCCAAGGAATGATTTTCCTCTTGGACTTTACTCTATAATAGTCAAGTCATTGGCACCTTTGACAAATTGAAACTGAACCTTGTTGTAACATTAATTAATCAAAAAGAAATCTTTGCTCAATATAGTAATAGAAAGAAAAAGAGAAAACTGAGAGAAACTTCTACCATAATGAGTCATGTGTTACAGATACCATAACTACCTGTACACGTATTGGAAAATAAATCTGTGATAGCTCAACTTTACTGATATCTGTAAATTAAAGACCCACAATTGATGGTGTAAAGAGGTTTTTTTTCAACTTCATTTGTCAGATCAAGTGCAAATTGAATTCATAATTGCTGAGGACCAAGAGAGTATATGATGCTTTGATGTGAACATTCCGGAGAATGATTGATTTCTGATTTGCAATTATCTATGTGGTCATAATAATCACATAGTCTTCTATTCAAATTCTGAATTGAGTGATAAAAAACATGATTGAAGAAAACTTGGGTTTGCTTTGGAATGTTGTTTGAGATACCATCTGAAAAAAATATCTTTTTAAAAGCTTCATTATCCAATCGTTTGATAAAAATTCCAAGCCAATTCCATACCCTTTCCAATCTTACAAGTTTCTTTTTAGGCTTATCCAAGTAATTAGCTCCTGGTGATTTTGATTTTGATTTCCCTATACTGTTGGGAGAGTATTCTGAAGTCATTTCAAATGCTTTTTGAAGTAGATTTTGATTCATATCCTTGTGATCATTCAAATCATACATATGATATTCATGGAGTATGACCCCAATTATATCAACATAAAATAGCAAGCAAGTGCGGCTTTTTTCAAATGCAAGCTGGATGTAGTTTGGATATCTTTCATCTGAAATGTGAATGTTGGCCCTTTCCTTCCAAAACCTAAACCAATTTTTTTTGTTAGAAATCAACTCGTTCACTGAATCATTTTGAATTTTATTTTTTTCATTCATTTTCTTTCCTTCTAATTCTCCTGAAATCTTGATTTCTTTTTTCTGGAAATTTCTCTCTTGGTTCATCATAATGTAGAAATTTGTAAGAGTAATATCTGCCAGAATATTTGGAACTTTTTCTGGATCTCCTGCTGGAATATAGAGCTCATTACTTCTAGGCTCTATTGAATCAATAAATTCAATCATTGAAGCTACTCTACAATGGTCTCTTGTTGATTGTGATTTTCCAAGTGAATCAAAGGCAGTCATATCAAACCTGAGGATGTCAATGGATTTCTTGACAATTATTTTTGGTGATGTGCTGATTTTCTTGATGGATATGTGTGAAGACACTCCTACATCATTCCAGAATTTGCAGTGAGTCAATCCACATTCAATGAAATCTCCTTTTGATAAATCTTTTTCATTTTTTTCATTGGCCATATGATTGTGATAAATTTTATTTTTTGAGTGTGTTCCAGTGGAAATTAACATTTTGTTTGATTCATTCTCAGTTGATGAGCTACAGCTATGTTCAAAAGATTTTCCAGACTTTGTCAGTCTTCTAGGAATATAAGCAGGATTGAACATAACTCTGGACTCTAGGGGGATTTCTAAACTACCATTCCAGCCTTGCCACATCCAATTGCCACTGATCAGATCCCCTTCTGCCATACCTCTTCCCAGTCTGTTTTCACACATGGAATTGTGATGAATTTTATTGTTGGCATGTATTTCACTGGTTTCCATAAGATGATAGGATTTAGCTTTGATTGCAGGTGGAATTTTATCAGTCAAAATTGGAGGGTGAAAGTTTGTGGCCCTTTTATTTGATGTGGGATTGGAAATAATCTCAGGATTTGTTAGGTATGGGTTTGAAAGGCTGTCAAGGTCTACTGAAGATTGATGGTGTAGTGGAGAACGTTTTTTGGATTTACTGCAGGGAAGGTGGTCCAAGTTTTGTGATGAACCAATTTGGTAAGGCTCAGGAATACTTATTGATAGTTGATCGTATTGGCTGAATCCAGACTCCATGACTGTTTGTTCCACAACTGGTGTGGTCAAGAAACCATGGTCCCTAATATCTGGAATGTAGTCTATGACGTCTCTTGCTTCATTTGCTTGATCAGAATCTTTCAGGGGTGGCTTCAAGTTGTTACCAAGAACGTCGTTGATGCTGGGGGCATGATTGTCCGTGATGTCTAGCAAATGATCCACAGAATCATATTCCCATGTCGGTTTCCCTGAAGTGCCATAAACAATCCAAAATCCTACATAAACCAACAAAAGGCGAGTCCCAAGCCCTTCAGACAACATCTAGTCAATTCTTCTAGCTATCGGTCACTTCTGAACTACATACAGTTGAAATTGATTGGTCTCTATGAATCAAATCTCTGAAGTCTCAAGGGCAAGAACGCATGTAACGTCTGGGGCATTTGAGTTAACTCCAGCTTTTCCCCGACGGGAGGGTCCGGCTCTTGCTACAATTTGTGTCGATGTGCCGGAAGCTGCCATAGCATTTCCCAGTATAGATGAATATATTGATACTAATTCTAACAGAACCTTGCTATTTCATGGCTCGCTATTTAGTTGAGAGCATCGGTGTCACTGGAATCCTCAGAAAGCTAATTATAAGGGAATAGTGTCCACCCCCACTCACCGGCACTAGCCGCCAATGATTGCCACATGTTCAAACCTTAGCGCCAAATCTCGTCAATTCTGAATAAACCACCTGATCAAACTTTTTGATCTTGCTTGAAAGGCTGTGTCCATTTCGGTTCTGCACCTCAGACGCAGGATTGGCAATAGGAGCTGTCTAACTACTGCTTTCACAGCCTTGAGCAAACAGTGGCGATGGCCATGTAATTTTAAATTTTGCAACTCAAGATCTTGGAACATCCGCAGTGTGTTCACTACAAGGCACTTCTCCGGACAACCACCGGCCCCCGCGGCCCGGTCAATGTGTCATGTTTTGCCATTATGATTGAGCCAGGACGCGGTGTTGCTGTAAGGTACATCCAGTGGAGCAAGTTCATGGGCATTTTCGATTTTCCTTAATTCAATGCTTTGCAAGACAGTTCTCACTGCAGTTACGCTTGCTGTTCCTTTTGAATAACCCTGGCGCGGTCACCCAGTTTGATTCTTCCCTCAACATAACAACAATTGCGTTTGATTTCTTTCTGAAAACTCTGAGCTCAGCCATTTCAATTCAATTCATCTTATTACAATTGGTGACGGGGGAGGGGGGGGAAGGTGGCAATTCACCTTTCTCTTTCTATTACGCTTTACCTCAGATAAATTGGTGACGGGGGAGGGGGGGTGGTAATTCATCTTTCTCTTTCTATTACGCTTTACCTCAGATATGGCACCAAAGGTGTTTTTTGCTGTTTCTCGGTGTTTGTCAACCTCTACCTACAAGACCAGAAAGAGAACAAGCTGATCAATGTTAAATACTCATACATCATAGTTGGGTAACCGCAAAGGAAAAAGAGACAAATATACTTTTGGTTAGTGTACTGTACACTACCATTAATTGGTGTTTTGCTCAAAAAAAACCATAGGTACTGGTTGCCCACTCCTGATAGTGGTTTCCTAGGTCCTGCTCTTCTAGTGTTGATTGCACACTTTAGTGCAGAATGCCTGCACAATAGAACTTGAAAGATCTTCGTCATAACATGGGGAACCCACTCGAAAAATTGAAGCTGTTTTGAGACACACCGAGTTACCAGAACCAGATAGATTTTGGTGGCCCTGCAAATTGACAATGACACTATCAATTGGCGTCGCCGCTCCCTCCTGCAGCTTGGTGACGCAGACGTGGGCGCATGGACTGGACAAATACTGGCAACTCATTCACAGAAGAATCCCTGCTCCCCAGAGCCAAAGGCCGGGTTGAATTCCTTCTCAAACTAGAGGATGGAATAAACGGAGACTGGCTTAAGAAGGCGGAAGTCCGCCTCGTGAGTCGTAGCGGCTAGCTGTGTATGTTATTCAGGATCTGCGCGACTGGAAAGAGAGGCCCTGGAGTCGCACGGAGGCCGAGCGCGGCATCTATTGGTCTTGGTCCCGTATCCCTTACCGCCATGGGGTAGGTGGGTAGACTATTTTTGCTCCCAAAGTGGAGAAGTTCCGCTGAATTGGAAGTACTCTCCACAGGTCCAAGCTGAATGTTGCCAGCGTCCAGAAAATTAATCTTGCAAAACCGGAAGAAGGAGGAAAAGTCGAAGTGCGATTTCCAATGGCTAAAAAGGACTCGTGAGATTTGGTCCAGTACCCCAACACATTCTTTGGCGCTTTCCCAGTTTTCCTATCACCAGATATTTTCATAATCAATTCTGTCGCAAGCAGATCCAACACTATCACCTCCACCCTTCAATATAACTTCCACCCACAATGTTTATCAGGCTTCTGATCGCTTTATCTCTGGCTTCATGTGAGTTTTTAGCTATAATCGCCAGCCTTGGACCGGTCATCGTTGAGAAATGATTCCCCAATTTTCCAAACAAATCCTGCGAACGTGCCTTTAGTACTCGTCCAAGGTGTCTTCCCCAATCCCAATGGCGATTCACCCTTATCTACCAATTTGAGACCACGTTCCGTCAATAGCGCTCACAGTGCTACGGCGTTAAAGTCTGAATTTAGTGACATCCATGGCGAAATTCGAAATGCTTATGGTCCATTGGAGCGTGCATGCAAGGAAAATGACCTGAAGTCTGTCGTTGCGACGTTTGCTGGTTTCCAAAAGTCTTTCCAAGGCCTGGCCAACAGCTGCTCAAAGACATACAATCAAAACAGGAAATCTCCGGTGAGCTCTTACCACTGTCTTTCAGAGGCACTTACAGCCAGTACGTTCTAACATTGCTTACGAATTTTTGGGGCGACAAACAATTAGTCGAAAATGGCAAGCGGCTTCGTCAAGATATTGGTCGAGTTCCAACCTCTTCTAAAAACGTTGAAAGCCCATCCATCTATGCTGAAAGGCTGTTCAAGTAAGTAAAAAAATGCCCTTTCTTCTCCACGCTGATAGGAACCTAAGCCTAAACTATTTACCATACATCCATAGACACTTTCCGAGGTTCTTCCACCAGCATCAATGCGATGGTGTCTTTCCTCAAGGCTGGGAAAGCTGACTTGAAGTCAGAAGTCCGAAATTCCGGCAAGGATCTCGATATGGAACTCTTCGCGCAGTGTGGCTTCAGACTTAACACATTTTATTAAACCACTTTTCCCTCACATCCTAATCAATCCTCTCCGAAATCGATCTGAAAGTGGATGCATATTACCCTTCCGGTGATTCTCCTCCGTCATGATTTATTACGCACATTCTCTAATCGCAGCGAGATCTTTTTCGTATTGAATTGTTCTACTTATTTCTCACTCCTCCTCACTCCTTCATGAGTTGGCCAGAGGATTTGTAAACTAGACATTGACTAATTTATCAAGACAATTTGAAACACGCTGAACCAACAACGACAATTGAATGTCGCAGCTTCACTGCATAGCAACCTGTGACTTAGCTTCTCCAAAGTTTAACATCCAGCACAAATTTTCTTGGTTCCTTGAGTGAATACATCTGGATTCGATGGAAATAACAGCTAGCTTGACGGCTCTTCAGGCGAGAGGTCGTTGAAAAAATGAGCCTCCACTTGCAAGCACCAATCATGAAATGTAATTGGATACGCTTGTCATTGAGCCTGTCAATCAATGATGAGTCAACATTCCAAACTGAAGCCTCATTGATTTTGTGAGCAAGCACCATCTCCAGTTTATGTTCAATCATATGTTGTATTTGTCAAGTATTTTCCTCTCAGAAAATGGATCATGTTGTCATGTTTCTTTTTTAATTCACGTTTCTCTCCCAAATCCTTGAAAGATAAATGAATGTATAACTGTCCTCTGAAAAAGGCGACAATTTTCAAACAGCGGGTATAGGATTGAATCAACCAATTAACAGACAAACAGGATTAAAGAAGCAGCTCCCAAGTGCAAGTCTTTCCAAGCTGGCACTACACAGAACGTTGCTCATCACCTTAAGCTGTTAACCAAGTGACATTCCCCCTTTTTTGGCTTCTCAGCCCCCTTGTCAATGACAATGGGATGCCGTCCATTGAATGTGAATTCTATTGTTGAGGTGTACTTGATACAAGCTGTGCAAGCATTTCTACAACATAAGCATTAGAGACAAATCATCACTGACAAGTTAAGCATAACTGATTCATTCAACACCAAGCGCTGAATTATAAAAGCAATTCCAGTGCACAAGTTCTAAATCAAGTCTCTTAACCACATGAACATCAACACCAACAACCTGCAACCACCGCAGGTACTATTTAGAGTGCTATGTCACAGATCCCATCAAAAATATCTACTGGGTTGCCTGGCTTGGAAGCCCAATAGGTCCCCGGAATCTGTGAATCTCTGCAACAAAGCCTATGAAATCTACAGCTCCCTTCTCGAAAACCTCTCAAATTCTCCTTTGGCTCAACATCTCTTGAATTTTCAGCTCTTGTTCAGCAGCCTGAATCAGCATAACAACTCATGTCGATTTTGGTGATCTCCCCATGAAACTAAGTGAGATAACCTTTAAGGGTACATCTCTACGTGTACACACTACTAAGAGAGATGAAGGGGCACCAATCGCCGTTATGCCATGGTTTGGCGCAGTGGTGTAGAAGATAAAGAACGTTTTCTCTTTATTTTTCGAATCACAACCAAGTGATGAGTGGACTGATTTTGTTATCATTATTCACGTGAGACTGTCTAACTTGATTGAAAACTTTCGGATGGCCCCGTCGGATCCACAAGATAACAATTTGCCTTCAGCCTCCCAAATGACTTCCGTTGTTCCGCCCACGTGCGCATTCTGATAGTTTATGATGTTAGCTTGAGGCGGTTTTGACAGACAAAAGAAAACGTAAATGCACATACCTTAATTGGGATGTTTTTGGTTGGTTTGGCGACACTCCAAACATAGATATTCGTGTCTAAGGATGAGGAGGCTAAGAAAGCCGAACAAGCAGACCAATCGAAGCTCATGATTCTAGCCGTATGCCAGCACCACTGAGAGATTTTTACTGGATATTCTCCAGATAATTCATGAATCATGATCTTCCCGTTTTGTTCTCCCACTGCAAGAAGTTTCTCATCTGGACTGATAGCCATGCACGTCACCGAAGAAATGTTCTTGGATAAAGTTACTGAGGATTTCAGTGTTTTCGAACTCGCATCGTAAACGTACACTTTCCCGTCCTAAAATCGCCAGGGCAGATTTTAACGGATCGCGCACAGTATCAGACTCACTTTCCTTCGGCGAGGTCAAACAAGAAACTTGCACAAAAAACATACAGCTGCACCAATGGCCGCGAATTTTGGAGATATTGCGCAAGCGGTTGCATTATAATCGAGAGGTATCGTGGTTAAAGAATTGCCGGATTCAATCAACCTAGCTTCATTTGCTGTGATGACTAGGATAACGTTGTCAGTTGAACGGGCGCAGAGATCTTTTCCTTGTGCTGGTAAAGGAACTGCAACATTGGTACTAAACGAGTCAAGTAATTCCAGTCAGTCGTGACTTTCAAACATTGATGATGAAAGCAAAGAGAAAGAAAGAGCATAAACGAGTACTTGTAAGCAGCTTCTGAAGGATCTATTTCCCTCACAGAATCATCCATGCTGATCGAAAACACTTTGTTTTGCGAAGTAGATAAGCCTATAATTTTCGATGATGCTGATCCTCCGACCGGCTTGCAGACACCTTCATTCGAGTAGTGGAAGACTCTCCCGGAGTGATCACCGGCAAATATCCCCGAGCTTTTGGGACATTTCGCAGCCGCGATGATGCCTTTTTGACAAGACTGAAATCAAAGATGAAAAGGGGTATTAGAATATGTTGAATGAAGTCGTGATGGTGAATATTGATACTTGCATAAATCTTTTTGACAGGTTCGGACTGTCTGTCGTCAAGAATGGTGAGATCGCCATTATAAGCTAGCGATACTAGTCGATTACCTTCGAGCCATGTCCCTCCGATCAATTGCTGCTCCGGACTGGGTGAATCTGCTAACTTCCACGTTCTTTCAATCGAGCGTCGAGTTGGTCGATGAGCGCGTGGCTCTTAACTCTTTTCCAATCAATTTTAAAAGGGAGAACGCATTACCCTACGTGTTTTTGGGTCGATGCATCCCACCTCATAACTTTCCCATCCGCTGAGAAAGAAGCAAGCGTCGACGGATGTGCCTTAGACCAGCCAATCGAGTACACGGTCCCGGAATGTTTCTCGGCCGCATCTTCTCCACCAAGTTGACAGATAGTATCCCCCGTGGAGCCATCGTAGATAAAAAGCTTGGAGTCAGAGCCTCCAGATGCGAACAAGGAACCGTCTTTGGCATATTCAACTGTTTGAACGAATCTCGAATGGGTACGAATCGTCTTTGAGAACTTGTATGGTGTACCATTGAAGAAGCTGAAAAAAAGGTATGGCGCGATAGTAGATTCTGCATTCAATAAGCCGATCATGGACGATGTGTCTTTTGTATAAATCAAGTCAAGCAGGTGAAGACCCACACTAGAGTTGTGTCATCGCTCCCTGTACTGGATGAATCAGGAATACGTCCCAAAGAGAAACCGTCAGATTATCACAGATTGGAATTGATGAGCAGTATAGCGGTTAAGGGATGTAGAAGTACTCACACTGCCCGGAACGGTCTGGCTGAACGGACGCAAACACTCGTGATAGTTTTTGAATGACCGGCAATTTCACCTACGGAATTCCCACCATCAATGGTAAATCTGCAGTTAAGAGAAAAAAAATCAGTTCACAAACGTACTTCAAAAGCTATAAAAGCAGCACTCACGCATGGCCAAAACGCTCCCTTCCTTCGCCAACAGCTACAATACGTTTCCCTCCGTTTTCGGCGTCCCAAGCAAGGTCATTGATTTTTCCCGAGATAGCTTTTCTTGAGGCCATGAGGATATTCTTTCTTAAGTTCGACAGGCCAGACCGGATCGTGCAAAGGGAACCAGGCTTACACTTCCACCTTCAAGATCTGCTCGTCGCCTGCTATATCCCAGACTCTTACACTACCAGCCGAATCACCGGATGCTACGTAGAACCCGGAGGGTGCGAATTTGGCAACAGTGGTCGGTCGGACATGTCCTGAGTAAGAGACGGATTCTAGGGTATCAAGATTCTTAATGAAAATCGACCTTCCGGCGGCATAGACGATCGAGCCCTTTCCGTGGAGTCGAGCTTGATGGCCGTTCCTCTTTCGCCAGTGTCAGGGCTGGGTGCCCATAAGCTAATCGGGGTCGCAGCCATGTGCTGTTCAGCTGAGTCGATGAGCTTGGAGTTCACGAATCGGATGGCAAGAAGAATGTTGTTGACCAAGTTGACCTGCTCTGCGAGGCAAGAGGGTCATCGAAGTCCAGCAGCGGCGATGACGTCATGCTACATACAACAACCACCTATCGGTGACCCCCGAAGGATGAGCTTAATCCCAAAACCCAATGAGCTGTGACGTCACCCTTAACTCTGCTCTCGAATTCAAGTCCCCGCATGCTGGATCACGATAGAGTCTGATCTCAGAGACAAGGAGAGGATGGAAACCGGCCATTGATCTCTGCCATTAATGACCAAACTCGGAGCGCTTGGGAGACCACCGTCCACCAACGGCAACAATATTGCTCTCGGGCCCGCCTAGGCCATTAAACCTGACAAACTCGGGATAAAACTTCAAGGTGGCATTAACAAAGGCTGGCCATAGGAGACACAGAGGGAGGACATGGCAAGCAGTTAAACGGATGCTTGAGCTTCTGAATTTGAGTCAGCCCAAACATCCCGAGGTTGAAGGTGGTCATCTCGCTCAAACAGAACCAAGTCCAACACCTAAAGGCTCTCATATATTTGAACATGCGGATGGATTGATCTCAACCTAGCTGGATACTTTGTACCTGCACCGTACTACTTGACGATGCAAATCACCCTGTTGCTTTCACCAGCCATCTCGTTCAGTTGGCATAATCTATAGCCTTCTACCAACTCAGCTCGCCATCTCGTTCCTGCCATCCCCATTTTGTCTGGCTGTTTGCCATCCGTGAGCGGTAGCATGAATCGCCCTGGTTTTTTTTGGTGGTCAAGTTCGTTCCTTGCCTTTCCTAGCACTATAAAAGGCACCCAAAGCGTTCTTCCGTTCTTCGCCTGCTCACTTACTTCACCACATCACCAAAAAAAAGCTGTGTTGTTCTTCGAGAAGAGACCATGCAACCGCCTGATTCCCAAAGCTTTTAGCGTTGGCCCTTAATTGAATCTTAGCATCGAGTTACCCTCCGTTGCACTCTTCCCTATCCCGCCCAATCGCTTTTTATCAAATCATATTTAATTCCTTCCCTTCGCATACCCTCTGAGTCTATCCCCTCTCGACCGTTGTTGCCGTCCTCTCATTTTCGACATCCTCATCACTTGCCAATCCATTGAGGTTCGACTTGACCAAGCTCTACCCCGGTCATCCTTTTCTCCTTTGCATTAATCAAGCTAGCGAACCCCCAGATGTTTTATACCTGTTGCGCCATCCCATCCGCATCGAAGTTTCCAAGTCGTCGACCCTCTTCTACTCACTTCCCTACGACCGATTTCCTTGTGCCCTTCGCACTTCATCTCTCATGTAAGCATATTTAAAAGTCGCTCTTCTGCTGCATGGAAGTGATAATGATTTGCGTCTTGCGATTGATTCCAGTTATCGAGTGTGCGTCTTGAACCGCGTTTGCTGCCTAGGACGAATCGGTCCACGTCCATCATCTCTTGAGCAGTCAATTTCTACCGTGCCTCTTCTTCCTTCCCTGACACCATGCCTGTTTTGACTGAAGTCGCCAGGTCTGCCCGTTCTCGACATGCACGCCGTATAGGTTTCATTCAATCTCATCACCACACGTCTATCATACATACCTCGTTGAGCTTCTTTAACCCAAATTTCAAGTCGCCCTAGTCTTCGGGAAGAATCCGCTGCTGTGATTTCTGGCAAGCTCTGCTCCAGTGGATCTTGTCATCTCGAAGATGAATCACACTCATTCATCGAGAAACTCCTGACTCGAAGAACGCATTTACTCGAATCGGTCTACGTCCATCATCTCTTGAGCATTCAATTTCCACCGTGCCTCTTCCTCCTTCCCTGACACCATGCTTGTTTTGACTGAAGTCGCCAGGTCTGCCCGTTCTCAACATGCACGCTGCATAGATCTCATTCAATCTCATCACCACGCGTCTATCATACCTCGTCGAGCTTCTTGAACCCAAATTTCAAGTCGCCCTAGTCTTAGGGATGAATCTACTGCTGAGATTTAAAGGATTCAAAATAAATTAATATCAAGTTGATGGCCGGACTTGTACAGCAAGTTGCTACTTTAGCGCACAGAACCGCTGCTCAACCGGCTCCCAAACTGCTGTTCCCGCTGCTCGGACCGCCGTTCCCGCTGCTCGGACCGCCGTTCCCGCTGCTCAAACAACCGCTCAAACCGCTCCTGCTGCTCGGCCTGCCATTCCCGCTGCTCCTGCTGCTCGTCCCGCCGTTTCCGCTGCTCCTGCTGCTTCCCCCTACAACGGCGGGGGCAGCAGGATCAGCAGGCCAAGCAGCAGGAGCAGCGGGAATGGCAGGCCGAGCAGCAGGAGCGCTTCGAGCAGTTGTCCAAGCAGCGGGAATGGCGGTCCGAGCAGCGTACTAACAGCAGTTTGAGGAGCCCGTTGAGCAGCGGTTCCATGCACTGGAGTAACAACTTGCTGGACAGGTCCGACCACCAACTTGATATTACTTTATTTGGAATCCTTTTTTATTTGAGATTTCCGTTCTTTGCCTGCTCACTTCTTGACCACATCACCAAAAAAAAAAAGCTGTGTTGTTCTTCGAGACTATGCAGCCGCCTGATTCCTGATCTACAAAGCTTTTAGCGTTGGCCCTTAATTGAATCTTAGCATCGAGTTACCCTCCGTTGCATTCTTCCCTATCCCGCCCAATCGCTTTTGATCAAAACTATTTAATTCCTTCCCTTTGCATATCCTCTGAGTCTATCCCCTTTCGACCGGGTTGCCGTCCTCTCATTTTCGACATCCTCAACACTTGCCGATCCATTGAGGTTCGCCTTGACCAAGCCCTACCCCGGTCATCCTTTTCTCCTTTGCAATCAAGCTAGCGAACCCCCAGATGTTTTATACCTGTTGCGCCATCCCATCCGCATCGAAGTTTCCAAGTCGTCGACGCTCTTCTACTCACTTCCCTGTGACCGATTTCCTTGTGCCCTTTGCACTTCATCTCTCATGTAAGCATATTTAAAATTCACTCTTCTGATGCATGGATGTGATAATGATTTGCGTCTTGCGATTGATTCCAGTCATCGAGTGTGCTTCTTGAACCGCGTTTGCTGCCTAGGACGAACACGTCCATCATCTCTTGAGCAGTCAATTTCTACCGTGCCTCTTCTGTCTTCCCTGACACCATGCTTGTTTTGACTGAAGTCGCCAGGTCTGCCCGTTCTCGACATGCACGCTGCATAGTTTTCATTCAATCTCATCACTGCGCGTCTATCATACCTCGTCTCGTCGAGATTCTTTCTCCCAAATTTCAAGTCGCCCTAGTCTTACGGGAAGAATCCGCTGCTGATATTTCTGAAAAGCTCTGC